AATAACTAACCATTAATTAAGCGATCATTAGTGATGGTGACACTATGCCTCCATTCACCTTCCCTCAGGACCTCAGACTCAACAGCAAGGCCTACATCAAGTGTCTTGAGGAGGTAGTACTGCCCTGTATCAATATGGTGGCCGTTGGAAGGTCCTATATCTGGCAACAGTACTCCGCACCATTCTAGACAAGCAGGAGAACCCAACTATGGCTATCAGACAATTTCTGCGACAGGATCACACCTTACATCTGGCCACCTAAATCCCGTTATATTATTATGTGTGAGACGCTGCTGAGCGAGCGACCAACAAAACTCCTTGTAACACCAAAGATGAACTGAAGGCAAATATTATAGCAGTATTCAGCAACTTCAAAAAGGAGACCGCCCAGAAGAGATGCAGGAGATTCCGAAGTCTTCTCGAGGCCGAGGTTTAAGCTAATGGCGATTTTATTGAATAAATTTGCTTTTCAGCATTTCAGAATATTTTTGTGTAATTTGGATAAATATATCTGTTAAAATGAGATGTCAGTGTTATTTTTCTTTTGCGTTATTTAGAGGACAATTTATCCATCCCATCCTGTGTATATATATATATATATATATATATATATATATATATATATAGGATGGGATGGATAAATATATATTTTACCATCTATATATATATATATATATATATATATATATATATAGATAGATAGATAGATAGATAGATATATGCAGATATAGATATATATGTATAGTTATGGCTCTTCTTCTCCCAGTTCATGCCATATTGCTAATTTCTCACAAAGATTACGTTATGGACCTTTAAACTCAGATTAATTTACACTATTTCATGTCTTTATGCATTTCTCAATCCATATTCTAACCATAATTATTCTGTTGATCCCTGCTCATTTGTACCTCGACTCCAAAAATTTAAGCGCAGTACTTGATTGGCAGCTAGGTCTCATAAATTCGCTACTTGTAACCATAAGTTCTATGCTAATAATTTCCTCTCCCGCACCAGTTTATTTTTTAACAAAAGTCCTGTCCAAATGTCTGCTATATCATATAATTTAGTTAAGAACTTAATCACAGTCTTACCAGGACTCAAAATATACAAAATTGTGTGAAATTGGACTTACTTGTTTCCAGAAGAGATATCTATGTAATAGCGTATGGCAACAAAGGGAAATAAATCTGTAATTTTTTCGGATTTCTTTTAGACACCTCTGTTGGTATTTTTTTCTATTCTTTTACAGCGATTTTCACACTTAAAAAGACCTGGAGCCACTCGAGGTAGAGGGTTACAGAGTAAGAGTCATAGTTTATACAGATAGATGGAAATACAGTGTAACCCGGATATAAGAGACCCGGATATAGCAGAAACCCGGATATAAGAGAGATTTTCTCTGGCCCCAAATTAGAGCCTGTGTTAATGTATATAAATTAGACCCGACTCGGATATAAGAGAAACCCGGATATAAGAGAGATTTTCTCTGGCCCCAAATTAGAGCCTGTGTTAATGTATATAAATTAGACCCGACCCGGATATAAGAGAAACCCGGATATAAGAGACTCCTTCTCCGGTCCCGACAACTATCTTATATCCGGGTTACACTGTATAACGCTTAACCTTAGATTTGAACAGGTTAAGATTGTAGTGATAGGGAAAACAGACTCTTGGGAATCGGTTTGACAGAGCATTGAATCGTGGGAAGAAGCTGTTCGAGTGGAACTTACTTATCATCAATGGAATTCGGAGGGAAATCAGTCTGGTTCGCTACAAGGTGAATCCAAGCCATGAATGTTAGAACTAGAGGGACTAAGAAATGCAATTCGTCTGAGAATTTCCCATAAAAAAGAAGCAATAGAGCAGAGTGTGAGTGCTTGAAGCATCTCATCTGTGAGAGAGGAGTTGCATGGTGGGAAATAATTTAACACCGACAAAGACGAGGAGAGAGTGTATAGTGACTGGAAAGTGAAAACTGGACAGCTCCTTTCCAAATACGCTCGGCTAGATCTGGCTCTTGTAAAGGTAGAGGATAGTACGTGGAGTCAGGTACTTACTGGGGCGGTACCGGTAACCGTTCATTTTTCCATCATCGTTGGATTATATTTACGAGTTTTATTTTAGGTCTGGATTAATTACGAAGCCAAAGATTCGTTCAATGCAGCGGGTGGGGCATCCGTTCATCCTGACTGGTGGTAGTTCAGGGTCCAGTCGGCGATTATATAATGTTTGGTTTTCGGGGTATTCAATGTAACCAGAACACCGCACACACTGAAATGTTAGATCTAGATGCCAGGAGAGATCAGCTGCCAATTTCTTATCATTTAGCGTTTTGGAGGTGCACACTTATACCGTTGTATAATCAGTATATATATTCATCAATAATCGGAGTATACTCTTAGGCAGATCTATGTAATGTAAAAAGAGGATTGGTCTGAGAAGCGACCCCTGGGGGAGGCTTGTATTGATTGCTAGGACACGATTGGAAAATATTCAAAAG